CCTGGTATATATATATATATATATATATATATATATATATATATATACACACACACACACACACCCGTTGGGTGGGGTTTATCCTTTTAGAATATTGCCACTATGTTATATAGAAACCTAAGATAGCCACTAGAGAGGCCACAAGGAGAAAAACCAAGGTGCCCTGGCCAATATCTCGAGGCATCTTAGACATTCCAACCACATTAGCTGCCATCTGACTGAAAGGCAAGGCTAGCAGAAGAAACACCCACCATCCCACAAAAATCTTGAGAAATAATAAATGATGATTGTTTTAAGCCAGTAGAAGAAGAAAGGGGAGAAGGAGGGGCAGAAGGAGAAGAATAATAGGAATTTATTGACTGGAGCGGGAAAGGGCAACTGAGGTTTGAGCAGGAATTAAGAAAAGCAAATACATAAAGGGACTTAATTCTTGCTGCCCATCCTGGTGTGCCAGGCAATGAGAGCTGCCATTTAGAGAACAATTCCATATGCCAGGCCATGTTCTAAGCAGTCTCAGTGCATTACCTCACAACAACCTACATGAGGAAACTGAGATATAGTGAAGGCAAATCACTTTTCAAAGGCCACACAGCTCGTAGGTGGCTTTGAACCTGTGTCCATTGCCCGTGTTCTAGTCCTGGGGAGCAGAAGGAAAGGAACTTCCATCCCCTTCCATGGTCTCCTTTCCAAGAGCTGAAGTCTGTGAAACCTGATTGTCATAGGTTTTCTGAGGGATTAGTTCCTCTCACTTCACATCAACTGGAGTCCCTCAGTCAGCCCCTGGCCCAGTACCATCAGTGTGCCATAAAAATATAATTTGTGTGTGTGCATCAGCTGTCACGGTCCTACCCCCGTGCACCCCTGGGTTGGGAGACAGGTCATTGTGTGCTTTGCTTTTTAATGCCACTTCTACTGTCTGACACAAATCCTACTCCTTGGAGGTTAAGCCATGCAGTTGACCTGCCCTTTCTCCTCATCTACTTCCCTCCCTCAGGTGCAGAATGGCTGGGGAAGCACGCCAGTTTTTTATTCAACCCATTTCCATCCAACATCCTGGCAGCTTTTGACATCCATATGGCATCTCAGTTCCTTGACCACCTCATCTCTGAAAACTTTTTCCTCCATTTCACTTCAGCCAGGATGCTACTCTCACATGGTTCTTCATGTGAGGTTATTCATTAAGACATCCATCTCTGAGGATAACCTCCATCTTTCTGCCTTGCTCCATCAGTGACTCTTATAGCTGTTCCAGGGCCTTCAGGCGAGTGACATGAACCTTTCCGGAATTATCTTACCTATATAGCATCCATTTTGTGGCCCTTTGTTTTAAAAGCTGAGATCTGAAACTTCTGGACCCAATCACACCTGTCTCGCAAAACTCCTTCCCTGGATTAATGCAACTGCTTACTCTTTGTATGCCTGTATCTTGACTATTCAAACCAACTATAGAAAAGTCACACAAACCATTCTATTACTATCACCATAAATTCAATCTCCATGCTCAATGGGGCCTTCAACATTGTCTTTGAAATTTTACCATATTTCCCTGCCCTCCAACTTGCCACAGCAACTATTTCAAATTCATAGTCAAACTTGACTATAAACTTCATGAGGGTGGAGAACCTGGTCTGGCTTTTCCACCACTGAATCTCCAGAGGCTTAATCCACAAGCACTCAATAAGTATCTATTTACTGACTGAGGTAGTAATAGTGGTAAGCATTTTATGTAAATGTTAGTAACACTAGCTATATGCCAAACTCTATTCTATGTGAATTGTATATATCAGCTCATTGAATCCTCCCACCCAGCAACCCAATGAGGTTAGTTAGGACTTTTATTATTTCCATTTTATAGATAAGGAACTTTAGAGAGGCAGCTTTGAAAGATGAAGTCACACACTTGTAAACGGTAGAGTGGATATTCAATCCTTACAACTCATAAATGCTTACCATGTCCAGTTGATTTCAGTTTTAGGTAGGTTGAGTTTTATGTGCCCAAGGGACCCTCAGGCAGCTGTGCTTCAGGTTGGAGCTCAAGAGAGAAGTGAAAATGAAGATTAATAATTAGGGAGGGGTCAGATAACCTGGTGACTTTGGAAAGCAGACTATCTAACTTTGTTCACACCCTTTGCTTTGGCAGAGCGCCTCTGACAGGCCTCCAATGGAATTGCGGTGGTGTGTGCAGGAGTGCATTTGGTGTTTAAGGTGCATCCCCCAACCCATGAGCTAAGAGGTCAATCATATATTTGAACATGGAGGTGTTCAATAATACTGTGTAAAGATCCCCCAGGGATGAAATTCAGCCTTGACCTTCTTTCTTCTTTTGCTTAGGTGCATATTTGAGAGACTTTCTAGACAATCTCTCAGGTAGGAGAGCTATATCATTGCAATGCTTGAGTCCTTCTTTTCCCTTCACACAGCTTCCTGCGCTGATTCCTGTTCAGAGAGAGACCTGCAAACAATGAGCTCCTTCCTGTTCTGGCCAGTCCTCACATCTGATGGAAACCTCCCTGCAGCTCTTTATTATTTGTTTATTTGTTTAATTTTTTAAATGTTTTTTTTTTGTTGTTCTTATTTTGTTTTCTTTCTTTTTTCTTCCTCCCTGCAGTTTTTTTTTTCAGCTGAGCCATCCTGCCACCTGTTGGCAGCTCAGTGGCAGCTCAGCTGGGGCGGGGAATCGAACCTGCAACCTTGTTGCTCTGAGCTCGCACTCTTGAGTGAGCTCTTAACCAACTGAGCCATTCCAGGGCCCTCCCTACAGTTCTTGAGGAAGATAATTATCACCTCCATTTTACAGATAATAAAAGTAATAACATTTACTAAGTGCTTATTGTATGTCAGGCACCTCACTTAGTGTTTTAAAAGCATCATCCCATTCGTTTCTCACAATACTCTAAAATCGTAACTGTTGTAGGGATGGGAAAACCAAGGGTCAGAGGGGGGAGAGGGGGAGGTGTCTTGTTCTGGGATACATACACAGCAAGTTAGAGTTGGCATTTGAACCCAGGTCTTTCTGACCCAGAGGCTAAGCTGCCTCATTACTCATTTCTGGATGAGCTGAGGTTTTTTTCCGTGGAAGCGGAATGAATAGAAACGGAGATTTGAAGAACGCTAACCTTGATTTCTATCTAAGTCCACGGGCAGGTGTATCTTCCCAGGTTCCCAGCAAATCTCTGACCCAGGCCTTACCCGGGGACGGAATGGCACGCATGCGCACGTTCTCCGCGGGCCCCGCCCCACGGGAGGGCTTCGCTCCAAGCCCTCGGCTCCGGGGCTTGCGCACTACGTCCCCAGCCAGCGGCTCCTTCTCGGTCGGGGACTTCCGGTGCACGGGGTGCGGTTCCGGGTCGTGGCGCGACTCGGGGCTGCAGGGTTGCTGCTCGGCCGGCCGGCTGCAGCAAGCAACGTGGGCATGAGGGCGAGCCCGGAAAGCAGTAGCTGAGCCGGCCGGGAGGAGCGACAGCCCCCGAGGATTCCGAGAGTGCGGAGCTCGGGACAGGGGCCGGGAGGCACGGGGGAGCCGGGCCCTCCCCCAAAGAACGCATCCCGGGGTCCGACCCCGTCCGTAGTGTGGCAGCAGCTTCAGGTAAAGGTTGCCCCAGCCGCTAGCTCACTCTCTCGGTCTCCTGCCACCCACCCAAGGAGCCTGGCGGTCCTCCTCACTCCTCTGCTCCCGGCGCTGCCCAGCGGGCAGCATGTCTGGCCCTTGCTTAGGTCTCCCGTGAGCATCCGTTTCCTGGCTCTTCCCAGAACTGGAGCTGCTGTCTGTGAGCCTGACGGCTAGCTGGGTGTGTGATTTGGGGGAGGAGAAGCTAATGGACCTGGTAGTGTAGGAAGCGGGGACGGAAGAGGGTACTTTTGGCTCCTGTAGTTTCCGGCCCTGCGCTCGGCAACATCTGGGTGTCCTTCATAACGTCAAAATCAAGTTTTTAAAGCATTGCCTGTGTGGCCCCTGTTTCCTAGTGCCCCTGCTCCCCATTGCCCCCAAAGGGGTAAACAGCCTCGCAGAACTATTTTTTTCTAGATGTAGTGCTTTGATTCAGTGCTCTAGATGTAACTTTGATTCAGCTTTTAATTTATGGGAGTGGCAAGGAGTCTTCTAGATCTGTTTAAGTCTGAAAAAAAAAATGACCGTAGTTTAAACAGGAGTACTGTATTACTTTAACCAGAAGCCTAAAAGTTGACGTTGAAAATGGTTAAAATTTCATTCTGCCTGAACGCAAGTAGTTTTTGAAGCCTGTCACAGTACCTGGCACTGTGCAGAGCATCATGTTGTAACCCCAAACTAGCAAAATCCAGAACTTCCTTAAGTATATACAGTCAAATGGAGACAGGCGTTTAACACATCAGTTAAAGCCAACATTCTCATTCTGCTTTTGACAAGCAGAAGGGGTGGATTCCCAACTTAAAAACCCACTAGAGAAGGAAAATGAGGCACCATGTTTTATTCCTCATATACTGTGAGCCCACACAGGGTGCTCAGTAAAACGCTGAGAGTGTCCTTGAGGAAGCATTGATAATTGTTTTTGTCTTTTTCAGTCTACACACTTGCAAGCCTCCTTGGAGCCTATGAGGCATGCTGGTGGCCTCTTTCCCATTCAGCTTTGTGCTCATACCTACTTTCAACTACTGTGATGCCATACTGAACTCAGATTCCTCTACCTCCTTATCTGGTACCTGGCCAACTTTCCAGCCATGCTTGAAATCGCCCCCTTCCTAAATCACTCTACCCTGAGCCTTTACTTTAGATAAGTAGGACCTCAAATCATGTTTGTTCTTTTCTTTGACCCTTGTTTTTTGTAGGACATTCTCCCTGTCTAGAAGGTTCCTGCTTTTTTGTTTCCACCTATTGAACTGTTACCCAGGGCCCAGCTGAAATTGGCCTCCTTCAACCAATGCAGGACAACCCCAGCTGGAAATTACTTCTTTTCTAGACTCCTATAAACACTCATTATCATCTCTACAATTATTTCACTTAACAGACATTTATTGACTATGGATATTTACCAGGTACAATACCAGACAATGTAGAGATAAATAAGTCCTTGTTGCGGGGAGCTCAATTTAGGGAATAATTCCAACACAGTGATAGGTACATGGTGTGAGAGCTCTTCCTGGGGTACAGTGGTAGCACAGGATGGGGGTGGGTCATTAACTTTTGAGCAGTGTGCTATGGACAGGTAATACTTCATAATGTGGGGTTCACTAAGCTTTATTCTGTACTGGATGTTACATACAGGTTTCTCTTGTTTAATCATTTTAACCTCAATTTACAGATTAGGAAGACTCAGGCTAAATTACACAGCTGGTACGAGACAGAGCCAGGATTCAAACCCAGGTCTGTCTGATGCCTACCTCTGCTTTTTTCATTATGTGTTTTGCTTTCTTTCACACCATAGCTCTCTATATCAAGTTCATATTGAAACAAGTATATAAGAGAAAAAATACGAATGTCAAAATGCATGGTACAGATGGCTCTTTAAATGTAGAGAGAAGACCCTGATCTTCCAGGGCAAGAAGGTGGTAGGTGTGTCAGCCCAGCTTTGAATATGAACAGGGAAGTCATTCTGTAGAGAATAACCATGAACTCTGGTCAGTTCCTGGTTCCTTTTCTTACTAGATATGTGATCTTTGGCAAGTTTTTTAAATTATAAACTTTATTTTCCTCAAGCATGGGTTGGGATAGGGGGATAATACGGACCTCATGGAGTGGTGTGAATATTTCATAAGCTAATGTAGATAGAGCGCCTGAAGTGATTGCTATAAAATGCAAAGATGCAATGACTGGCATGGTTTTAGAATGGTGAGTAGGCCAGCCTGAAACAAGCAAGCCATTGCTGCTTTTTATTGGTGATACTGGGAGGTAAAGTTGGGGGGTCAGTAGGGGTCAGTGTCAGTGAGGGCCTTGATGTCAGGCAAGAGAGGTAAATTACAGTTTCTGCTTATAACTTTTCCAGTTAGTAAATACTTTTGAGGATCTCTGATTCATTCCGCAGTGCCAGGGGAAATGTTAGACTCCGGGGATGCAAAGAGGAAGCAAACCAGGTCCCCACCCTGAGGTTGTTGACATTCCGGTGGGGAGATGTTTTATGTGCAGGTGAACTGCAGCAAAGCACTGTAGGTACTAAGCAGTCCCCACAGGGTACCAAAGAGCACAAAGGAGGGAACACTGATAATGGTAGCTAACAAGCACTTACTGTGTGCTAGCCTTGTGGTAGATGTATTATCTCATTTACTCCTGTACAGGAAGGTGTATATTAGCGTCCTGATTTTACAGATGAGGAAACTAGAGCACAGAGAGGTTAAATAAATTCCTTGGGTTTATGGCGAGTAGAGGCGATCATCTGCTAGACTTTGCTATCTCCGCTCTTCAGTACGACACCATGCTGTTTATTTTCTGTGATGTGGATGGGGACCCTCTGGAGAAGCTTCAGAGAGGAGCTAGGCTTGAGCCATAGGCTCAGTGTGCTGGGCAGCAGGGATGAGGAATGAGCGAGGCCGGCCTATTGTACTCGTCTGTCATGTTAAATATATGTATATATGTTTTTAGTGGCGGGTTTGGTTTGCTTGTTGACTGGTGAATGAAGACTTTAGAAACTGTTGTACTTCAGTGGACTCAGAATTACTTCCGACGCCGAATTTGGTCGGAATCTGTTATTTTGATATGTAGGCCTTATTGTTAAGGACACAGCAATAGGTACCGAATTATTATATGACAAAGAATTCTGTCACATTATGTTTTTTTCCCAATGGAAGGTGTCCTGACCTTGTGTTTTCTGTGAGTTTGAGGTTTTTGAGACGTTTTGACTCATAAGTTAGCACATTTCAACTTGTGTTAAATTTATTTATTTATTTTTTAAAGAGTTTATTGGGGACTTGGGGGATGGGAACAGCGCTGGGGAATCGGGAAGGGGAACAGACAAGCTGCTGTCCTTTTGTTCTTCATTCTAGTTGTGGAGGACATTGCTTCACTGGCCCAAGTTGGCACCATCATTGCACTCTTCCCGGGCAAGGCAGATCAGTCGCTGGCTTCTGGATGGCCGCTCACCGCGGCTGCCGGCAGCTCACGCTGGCTCCTGGCTACACACGGTAGCCCATGGCAACCCACTGCCACAGGGGCTGCAGCCTACGCCATCTCCGGCGACTCATGGCAGCCCAGCTCCAGGTTGAGCTGTTGTTCAGCATCTCAGCTGTAGAGGGCAGTGTCACTGGCCTCCATGTGGGATCCGAACCGGGGCTCTCTGGTGCCCCAAGCCAGCTCTTAGCCAACGCGCCATTTGGTCGACTCAACTTGTGTTAAATTTAAAATAACTGAGCACTTCTATTTTGGTCGTAGTTAAATGTTTTTGTGTACTTTATTTCTTTTATTCATCCTGATTCTGTGAGATAGGTGCTATGACCCCATTTAACACATGAATAGCCTAAGCCTTAGTGTTTAAGTATGTTACGCCAGAGTCACACAGCTCGTGAGTGATAACACCAGAAATATTTGGCCCAGAAAGAGTGAACAAGTATTTATTAGTTCTCTTTTAAGCATCTGGGACAGACCTTGGTGAGCTGGAGGGCGCAGGACCAGTCTGGACGTGTCAGTCGCTGCTCAGCTCCAGTTGCTTGTTGCTGTGTGAGAAAGTAGGCCCGCTGTCCCTGGATCTTGTCATTGTTTTCGAGAGATGGTGGAAATCTGGAGTTTAACGTATTTAGTTTTAAAATTTTGCCATTTAAAAAAATTATCGTGTAGGGCCTGCCGAGTGGCGTGTTGGTTAAGAGCTGGCTTGGGACGCCAGAGGGCCCCGGTTCGGATCCCACATATGAGGGCCAGTGACACTGCCCTCCACAGCTAAGATGCTGAACAACAGCTCTACCTGGAGCTGGGTTGTTGTGAGTCACCAGCTACGGTGTTAGGCTGCAGCCCCTGCTGCAGTGGGTTGCCATGGGCTACTGTGTGTGGCCGGCAGCCAGCGTGAGCGGCCAGCAGCCGCCGTGAGTGGCCGTCCAGAAGCCAGTGACTGACCTGCCTCACCGGGGAAGAGCGTAATGATGGTGCCAACTTGGGTCAGTGAAGCAACGTCCTCCACAACTAGACTGAAGAACAAAAGGACAGCAACTTGTCTGTTTCCCTTCCCCCGATTTCCCAGCGCTGTTCCCATCCCCCAATTCCCCAATTAAACAAAAAACAAAAAACAAACAAAAATTATCGTGTAGATCAAAGCACATTCGCGGGCTGTATACAGACTTAGGCTGCCTGATTGTGAACTCAGATATACTCACTCGCTGAAATTTTGGTACCCACTGTTGAAAGCAGGAGACGGCACAGGTTGTGGTTATTGATCAGAAGTCTACTGGTAAATAGCCAGAATGAGGGGCGGTTGTAATTGACTCATACTGATGTCTTTGGGGAAATGGTAGGGTGAATGCTTTTATTATATAATCAGGCTAAATTTCAAGGGGTTTGATAAAGAGATGACCTTGTAATACTTTTGTTATGTGCTCTTAGTACTTTAAATACTGCCAGATCTCTTGTCTCTTTGGTCCTCTCTCTCATGTCATGAGGTGAACAAGGGCAGGTGGTAATCGTAGCCTCTTGAGATGAAGAAATTGGAGCCCAGTGAAAGACAGTATAGCAGGAAGTGCGCTACGTTGCTACGTTGAGAGGGACCGGAATTCTGAATATAGTGATGCTGCTAACAGCCTTTTCATTCTGGTCAAGTCACTTCCAGATCTTTCGATCTTTTGTCCTCTCCCCATAATAAGAGGAGCTCAATTCAAGTCTTGCTGAGGTCTTTTCAGGATGCCAAGCTTTCTGTTTCTAATTGGCATGATTAAAGTCACACAACTGATTACTGGCAGACCCCAGTAGAGAATGATTCAAATCTAAAATGCTGCTGCTCCTCCCTTGATGGCAGGTAGAAAGCTACTGCTCAGCTCTTCCCTCTGTTCTTTGTTCATTACTTGTTCTGGGAAAGGACCTTGACAGGCCAGGTGCTCCCCAAATGCATACTGTGCTTTGTTGACTGTGTATATATACTCACAAGATTGAAAGGGGGCATAGAGACACCCAGCAGAGTGAGAGAAATATGGTCAGGGAGTTCCCAGCCCAAGAGTTTAATTTATTTTTATTTTAATACCCACCTTCCACAAGGTGAAAATTGAAGAAATATTGGCCTTGTAGATACTTGTTTTCATTCATACTCTATTGTATAAGGAAATAACATAGAATATAAAAATGAAGAAAATAAATCCTGAGCAGTCATTCAAAATTTATTAACTCTAGTTGGCAGCAGTCTAGATATATTGGGGAAGTAGATTTAATATAGGAAACACAGAATTTGAACCCAAAGAAGAAAACAGGTTTAAGTAATTGAAAGTGAGAAAAATGGGAGAAACCACTTAAAAAAACAAAAATTTAAATTCTGGAAACAGCAAGAAGGTTTAGAATAACTATTGAAATTAAATTCTAGTAATCACTTGTGAAAGAAATTGAATGTTATGTCACACCTACCCCTACATATATGTGGCGTTAGATTCATATCCTATACTTGAGGATACTTTTATGAATATGCTTTTATTATTGATGCAGACAAAATGGACTGAATTTTACACATTCAAAACAATAACATTTTTTAGTTCCCTATGAACTCATTTTAAAATACTGTATTCTAAATAAGTACTGTTT